CGCCACGAGGAGCGATTTTTTCTGTATTTCTTTTTTGTGTGCTTTTTTTTTTTTTTTTTTTTTTTTTTTTTTTTTAAATTTTTTTTTTTTTTTTTTTTTTTTTTTTTTTTTTCACCTGTTTCTATGTTTGTATTATGACTCAGCCTGCATTGTTTGTTCGCAAAATTTCGACGATGTTGCTTGTGGTGATGCGGCGAAAACCCCCGAATTTTGGGCCTTTCATTAACCATCTCTCGTGATTTACTGACCTTTGTTTTCTTTGGTCTCTGCAGACAAGGACCACGAAGAACTGAAGAAGAAGTTTGCATCTGAGAGTGCGGAGAGAAAACAATTGTACAATAAAGTTTTGGAGCTCAAAGGTATGGTTAACCACTTCTCTTCATGGTCACTGACTGATATTCCTATGCCTCCATGCAGAAAGACAACAATTGTACAGTAAAGTGTGGAGCTCAAAGGTATGTTAGCTGCTTCACTTAACGATCTCTGACTGATATTCCTATGCCTCAATTGTCAGGTCATGATGGAGTCAGAATGGTGACCTCAACACCCTTTCAAACCCTATGCCTGGATCGTTAGGACATAACGCAATCAGAATGATGCAAAACACTGTTAGGAACCCCTCTCTGCAATGTCTGATGTTGCAGATTATGTAGATCAGAATCTAGTACAGTCGGATAGGAGGTGTACTAGTGTGAGGGACGCACACTAGAATCTAGTGCTAGTGGATAAAGGGTAGTGCAATTAGCAGGCATTTCCATGTGTTGTAACGGTAGGCCAAGGGCGAGGAAGTGGTAGGTCGTTGGTTAACCCTGGCACCCTGCTAACCCTTCATTTCAGTGCGATTTCTGAAGCTCTGATACCCTGAATCGGCAGTTAGGAGTCCTTGTAAGTGTGTAGCAAGGCTTCAATCATTCTGTTGGAAAAACTGAAGCAGCAGTTGGGACTCCCTAAAAGTGTGTAGCAAGAACTGTAGGCCAAGGCTTCGTGCGCAAAAGGACTGGTTGGATTGAATCAGTCTGAGGGCTGAAACCTTTTTGGTATGCCTGGAATGTCCTCTTGCATCCTCCCCACTGTCCGGAACCTCAGTTTCTTACCTTGTTATAATTGATCGCCATTTCGTGCCTCTGCTGTGAGAACTAAGCAGGGTAGTTCTCAATAATAACGAATAACAAAAGTCTCAATGCCCTGCAGTCTCTGTCCACCTCCTCTGCGGAGTCTTCTCCCTCAGCTTGTCACCTCCCATCAATCCTAACTGTGGTAGACTCTCCTCTCCAGCAAGGACTCTTCTCTCAAGCCTCTCTAACCTAGTCAATTTTGTCTCTCCTTTCCTTCCCAGAGGTCTGGCGCCAAAAGAATGAAGTCTTAAACCACCAGTACACCGGGGCCTGGAGGCGCTTTACTGCATGCCAAGCTTTTCCGAACCACCAGCGGCACACTTTCTTTTTTTGGCTGGCGCCGCCAGCCATTGTAGTCAGGTAGGCCGAGCCTCCGAAAGTTGCATTTTCAGCAAGGCTGGGGCTGTGCACTGGCAGTTTAAGGGTGCCTGTACGTTGTAGTCTTGGTGTCTTATTCTTCAACACGGTTATGACCACAGTCACCAAATAAGTTTCCTCTACCCTCACTCTCCTTCCCTAAGTGTCTCTCCTCCCTGTAGCCCTTCCTTCCAGTCCCACCACGACAACTAATGGCGGCTTGCTCAAGCTCCCTCTCCTGGCACTCTGGCAGCAGCAGGGGAGCATTGAGGACTACTCGGTGTTCCAGACAAAGTTTTCAGGATGAGTCCGGGACCTACTGTGTGCAGAGGGCACGCAGCCAGCCGCTGGTGCCCGGTGCCCAGGGAAAAACAATGTTTCTGCGCTGCCTTTAAGATTCTTTCCTTGGTGTCCATGGACTTACACAATACTTGCAACCGCACCGTGCGGTGCGGCGTGCAGCGCGACACCTGCTCGTGCACCGTACCAGTGGCAGTTTCCCTTTTTTTTGCTGTTTTTGTAGAAACAGAAGAGTGCAACACCTACGGAACTGATCTTTTTCAAGTACAGTCGTACATATTTTTCTTTCCGTCCAATTGGGCATGAGAAATAGCCTCAAAAAAGTGCCTGGGACATCAGTCTGGACCTTTAGGCAGTGGCATTACCCTCCCACTGTTCCCCCGCTCCCCCCCCCCTCCCCCCAAATAGCACAACAAATCTTTAAACAGGATGCAGGTGACCATTGACCCAGCCATGCGGCCCCTTTCTGTTTCTGAGTGAGTATTTTCCCCGTGCACCCCACCGTGCGGGTCGACTTCTGCGCCAAACGTGCGGAATTTTCCGCACGGCATCCACTTGCATGTATGACTGAGTCTGATCATATGTAGCATGCAGGCTTTCTTTTTCTCTTTCTTTTTTTTTTAAACAGGTCCTTATGGTCCTGGCTCCATTTCCATTCTGGGGAGCATCAGTCCGGTTCCTATTCCACCGGCAAGTCATGAGAAGATTACATCGTAGAACTCACCCAAGTCATCAGATTTAGTAAATTGGGCTGGGATGTTAGTCCATAAAAGTAATTGGATCGGGTGTTCGCGAAGGGAGGGAAAGAGGGAGTCCCAGAGTGTTGAGGCTCTCGCCAATAATTCACTAGCGAATTTGCAGGTTATGAGACAGTGAATTAAATCTTCTAAGCCTGTTTTCCTGCAGATCTAATTATTATCGTTGATTGTCTGTGGAGAGGCAGATTAGCGGTAGAGGCACCACAAATAAAAACTAGATGGGGAAAGAGCAAGAGCGGGAAATATAGATATATGGGGCGGGGGGGGGGGGGGGGGGGAGATATGGGGGGGGGGGGGGGGGGGGGGGGGGGGGGGGGGGGGGGGGGGGGGGGGGGGGGGGGGGCACACAGAGAGAGAGAGAGAGAGAGAGAGAGAGAGAGAGAGAGAGAGAGAGAGAGAGAGAGAGAGAGAGAGAGAGAGAGATGTGAATGCGATTTCAGAGCTTCACACTTGTTGCCTTCAAAGTGCTTACAACTTAAGTTAACATTATGACACTAATGCAGTTTCATACTCATCCCAATAGTGATGTTCTCGATTCTTATCAGTGTTATCACCATGATAGCAGCAATGATCGTCAGATTTTTTCACCAGTCATGATCACAATCATTACCTCCAGTATCACCACCACCACCACCACTACCACCACCATTGTCTGAATTATACATTCAAATGAATGAGGTGTGCAAAGCTTCGGATTGCATAATTGAACTATCTGAGAATAAAAATTAAGAAAAAAGATTTCAAAAAAATCAAAAAAGAACTGTTCGGCTGAACACGTTCGGGAGGTGGTCGGCCGAACACCCAAACAGGTTTGGGCGAACATGTTCGGTGTGCTACACAGGCCGTCAGAGTTGGAGCATCATGACATCTTTTGATGTCTCGCTTAAAAGCATGGCTGTGATCCAGACTTCCGGATCGCAGTGTGGACGGTCTGGGTCTGGATGGCTGGATGTCCTTCCAGCGCGTCCATATCTGCCCCCCCACCCTTGGAAAAAAAAAAAAAAATCTGAAAAAAACTTAAAAAAGTATGTGTTATGCAGCATTGCAATACAAAATTCTTTTGACTGAGGGTCATCTCGAAATTTGCAGCCCAATACTAGGGGAAAAATACATGGTAACCGCAGACCCAGACACCGGACACTTCCGGACTAGTGTCTGGACCAATCCGGATTGTCCGGCGATCCGGACATCCCCGGACACCCTAACAGTCCAGACCTGTGTCAGGGGGTACAAAATGTCCAGAGTGGTTGGGAGTGTTGGCAGGCGCTCACCTGCTTTGCACTTTGTAGTTCAGGCTGCAGAGCACTTGTCTTGCAGCAAATCAACAAGCAGACATGCAGAGTTGCAAACAGTGCAAAGCAGGCACAAGTATAAAGAAACAGAGAATTTTGTTTTGAAAAGAGTATGATTGAATTTGAATTTTGAAGTTTCAACTTTAAATTTAGTAATTTAATTTCATAACTTCATATGACTTAAAAGTTGGAGCTTTGCAGTTCAATTCAGAACGTCAGTCTTCAGACTGGCAGCACTGTCAGTGCTCTCTCTCTCTCTCTCTCTCTCTCTCTCGCGCGCGCGCGCGCGCGATGCGCTGGCGCACGTGCGCCACACCGCGCATCCCGCACGACGCGCGCTGCATGTGGCGCACCTCCAAAAATGGGGGTCAAAAAAAAAAAAAGTTGTGAGGGGCGGTAGTAGACCAGGCCCCCTGCTCGTGTAAAATAAGAAACGGGCAGCCAATTTTTTTTGTGAGGCCGCTCGTTGCCCTGAAAGCTTTTAGTAACCTGTAGTTCGGGTAACACTCTGTGTGTGTGGTAGGGTTATTGCAGTCTGTATGGTAGGGTTCTTGCAGGCCAGATTCGGTCATGATGAGGGGCGCGATTTCTCAAAACGTTCTCTTCTTATTACTTTGGAAGTAGAAAACAACGGAACTGACAGCCGTTTTTCCTGGAATGTTCTTTTTTTTTTTTTTTTTTTTAAAGGAAAAATCAGAGTTTCTTACGAGTGTCGCCCGGCACGTCCAACCTGTCAGAACCTCAATGGTAATTGCAGTCTGTATGGTAGGGTTCTTGCAGGCCAGATTCAGTCATGATGAGGGTCGTGATCTCTCAAAACGTTCTCTTCGTATTACTTCTGAAGCTAGGCTACCAGCCGGGCCGCCCGGGTCTCGGGTGGCCAGCCCGTGCAAGGAGGTCCCAGCAAAAAAAAAAAAAAAAAAAATCCAAAAAATCCGAAAAAAACTATGTTATGCAGAAAAATAAACTGAACAACTTTTGCCTCAGGGTCACCTCGAAATTCTTCACCAACATTAAAATAAAAAATAAAAATAAAAAATATTTTTTTTTATTTTTATTTTTTTGGCCCGGCCGGGCAAGTGACCCCGGGCCACTCTGGTAGCCTAGTTCTGAAGTAGAAAACGACGGAATTGGCAGCCGTTTTTCCTGGATTTTTTTTTTTAAATAAAAGGAAAAAAACGTAAAGGAAGAACAGCTCTTTGCACGAGTGAAGCTCGGCGCGTCCAACCTGTCAGAACCTCAACGGTAATGTTTACCAACGGGCTCGCTGCACTACTCTCGACATGCACAACAAGACATATATGGCAATGTATYTTTCCATGTTCAAGCGRAGGATTCAGTCTCATTTGTTCAGAGATTCTCCAAAAAAAAAAAAAGAAAGGTTCCAGAGATATGTTACGTGCTTACCTGATTCATCGGCCCTTCGCTCTCCACCACCCAACGTATGAATGAATCTTCTGCCAGAACATGGAAAGATACACTGGCATATTTTGTCCTTTGTGCATGTCGCCCCGCTTCCGGATTCATGTTGCCCGTTGATAAGGGCGGTTTCTTCGGTCTGATAGTGTCAGCACACGGTTCTTCTCTCTCTCTCTCTCTCTCTCACACACACACACACACACACAGACACACACACAGACACACACACACACGCACACCGAAAATAGGCATCGCGCACAGTGCGCACCTTGCAGGGGTAGCGCGTCCCCATGCGCTGCGCGCACGGCGCACCTCGTGCGCGTGCGCGCGCACATGCACGCGCGCGGTGTCACCGTGCGCATTCCGCACGGTGCAGCGCACCACACTAATGCGCTGCAAGTATGTAATATATCGATATGGCTTTCCAGACTTTGTATGCATCTGATGATTTTGTTCTGGTGTGTGTACTCCATGGGAGAACTAGCGAATTCCAGGTAAACTGACATTGCCACAACCTGTTTTTCGCATGTGGCTGATCAGGGAATATCCGGGTCTTCTGCCGCTGCAGACCACTCAGTGCCAATGAAGTGGCTGCAGGTGTTTCCAGTGTGGCTGAGTTCGACGCAAATCGGGAGAATGATTTGGTTGTGCGCTGTAATGTCAACGGAACTCCAACACGGAAGTTCTTCAAATTCGACCGAGTGTTCTCGACAGAAGCCAGCCAAGGTATCTCAAGCGGCCAGACTATCCCTCTGTTCCCGCTGTAACACGACACCCACTATTGAATCACCCCATAGGAAGTCATTTCCATGTAAACTTACTGGGCGCGTGTTTTCTTTAGCGCTTCTTTTGTGGGGAGTTCCTTTTCTCAGTAATTACCTTTTCCTCCTCTTGGTTCTCGAAATGTCCCGTCCTATTGCTCTGATGAGCAACAACTGCCAACATGGTTAAAACTTAAAAGGCTGGTCCGACTCAGCCATGAAGGTTGTTCAGCCTGGAAAACTACCAGTCCATGTGTAAGGCGGATCCGGACAGAGTCCTAAATGCTCATGGACACATCTTTTCAACTGGGAATCAGTATGGAACTATGGTTATTTTGCACATATCAAATGGAGCATAAGAGCTTCAGGGGTTTATCATGGGGTATACGAGGGGATCAAAGGGTGGTGTAACTTTTGGATGATTGGTCCAGTTCTGTTTGCTTTTTGTAATTTGGCCTGCATATTGCTAAGGGATTTGAGGTGAACCTCAGGGAAGAGCTGTTGGCATTGGATTTGGATCCGAAAAGCCTCACCAACCATAGATAGAAGTTAAAAATCAAAAGTTCTTTTTATGATCCTGTGGCCTGCAGGTTGGTGCATGTTTTTATTCTTGGTCCGAATTTCGCTTAAAAACTTCGTCCAGAGAATCTGGAGGCTGCTGGACAGTGTTTGTGAACCTGCCAGTTGTCATTGGTCTTAACTCCCCTCAGAAGTGCACAGCGAAGATGAAAGGGAGAAGTGCTATTTTCTGCCCTGGAAATAGAAATAATGAGCGCTTTGCCCCCTGTCATAATGTACCTGTATGTGCAGATGGTCCTACCCGCATTTTTGGAAGTTCAACTTGTTCTTGTTTCTCTGTGGTATTTCAGTGCTTAACATGACAAGTATTTAGCCGCTCGACCCTGTTGTTGCTCAGTATACATACCTATGTATCTCTACATAGCACGGGCTCTACGTTCAACTTGTTTCAAGGCAACTATACTAACTGCCAGACTGAAGATTGTTTCACATATAGTTCGGGAGCGTGGCATGGCGAAAAAAGCTGAGTTACCCTTGTGCCAAGCGAGACGAGACCTTGAACCTCAGTTGGTACACCCATGAACTGTTGAAATACAGACCTCAGTTTGAATCCCAATCAACTCGGAAAGAAACTCTGTATTTACCTGGGGTCCGTCAGTTTGAGCATGCTAGATATCTAGAGGTTGTTGCCCTTTCTTTCAAAAGAAAAAGAAAAGAAGGCCTGGATCAGGTAATGGTGCAGCAGTGGTGCCTTTGATTTACTTGCCTAGGTGGCAGGTAGAGATCACTGTGGACACGAAAGGGTCATAAGCTGCTCTCTGGGTGTTTTCTGTGTTGTTCGAGAAGCTTCTGCTATCGAGTGCTGACATGCTGTAGCTCTCTGCTTGTTTTAAATTTTCTTTGTGAGAACAGGTGAGGTATTTGCCGATACAGCACCTGTGGTGACTTCGGTTCTCGATGGATACAATGTATGCATTTTTGCATACGGTCAGACTGGAACTGGGAAGACGTTCACAATGGAGGGTATCCCTGCAAACCGAGGGGTGAACTACCGCACTTTAGAGGAGCTATTCAAAATTGCAGTGGAGAGGAAAGGACAAGTTACATATGAAATCAAGGTCAGCGTTCTGGAAATCTATAATGAGCAGATCAGGGATCTTCTGGCAGCTCCCGTATCACCGATTGCCGGAACTCTAAGGAAGTGAGTGCTGACTTTTTCTTGCTTCTGCCCTGGCCCCCCATTCATGTCTGCCTCAACTTTTTGGTGTGATTCCTAACGTCGATGTGAAAGCACTTCCGCATTTTGTCATCGTGTGAACGCTCACCCCACTTCAAAAGCATGCAGTAATGCAATGGTCTGCGACAGTTCTGGCCTCCAAGCTGAAAGCACTTTCTTTGCTGTACTTCAATGATTGGCTAGTTCCCTTTTTCTATCATCTGCTTCGCTGTGACCGGTGTCATCGTTTCGGTAGACCTGTTAAAAATACTTTATACGGGGGAAGACAAACTGCCTTCCACACTTGTGAAGACGTGCGACTTTCACATCGCTCGTATTTCGAATCCTGCCAGTTCAAACCTTGTCTGTAATCAGCGGGTTCAGCTGTAGTGTCATATGCCCAGCCTTGCACCGTGATTTAACACCTGGTCCTTCTCTGACGACGGGTGGGTGGCAATCTTGAGTTGTTGACTGTGATTTCAGGCGGAAAAAGCGGACCCACAGGCAAAAGGGGCATGTTCAGCAGGGCAGGTTTGGATGCACGGCAGCATGGGTAGTTTAAGATATGACCATGCATTTAATTGAAAACCAGGTCTTTAAGCCACCAGTACCTTTCCCATATGTTGGCCGCGGGCACTGCCCGCCGGCCCGAAAATCAGGACTGGCCGCCAATTCGATTTATTGGCGGCCGCCCTTCCGTTTCAGGCCAGCGCGTTACCCGGCGCGCCTCTGAAAAAATATCAAAAAATAGCTGGGAAAGGTACTGGTGGTTTAAGTGATTCAGACCAGATTGGCAATGGTTTTTGCTGACCCGGTGCTCTTCATATAACGAGCAGATATGTATACTGGGCAATTTTCCGTGTGTTGCTTGTCATTGTTCCTCGATCGTGCACTGCCTTCGCATACACTGGGGTTTGTAGGCTAGGTGGATGCGCCTACAGATCCTGCCGTTGTTGAGTGGATAAGTAATGCTTGCAAAAGTGCACAAACGCGTGAAGCCCTGCATTTGTCAAAGACATGTTCTTTATGCCTGTTTTGTGGCTTGGTTAACTTTATCTGTTGGATTCTGTTGTCCTTTAGGTGCTTCTTGAGGTTTATGAGCGTGTGTAATAGCTGTCACACTGATGCATGGATGCAGGTTGGAGATAAAGCAAGGGCAAGAAGGAGGGCACTGGGTTCCAGGGCTTGTCGAGACAAAAGTGACAGGTCTGGAGGAAGTATGGGATGTCCTTCAAAACGGTAGCAAGAACCGGTCGGTGGGCGCAACAAACGCAAACGAGCACAGTAGTCGATCGCACTGGTTAGTTTTCAACATCCCATGATAACACCTGCATTGTTCAAAAAGTGGAGTTTTGGTTTGTGTTTGTTGATGGTCATGTACCTTGCATGGCCTGCATGTAATGCACCAGTGGATGAAGCGATGGGTAACTGCAGCGGTGAAGTGGTGTTCTTCCCTTTTTTTTTTATAACTAATCTATATTCTTCACTCATATACCTCACTCTATCTACCTACCTACATATATGTCCAGTTTTTTTTCCTGAGGATGCTGTTATGGGTCGAGTTTCCAGCCTTCCCAGCCTACTCTGCTCTATGCGGGGAGCAGTACCCCGGCTCCTAACACCTGGCATGAGCTGGAAAGCCTAACCAACTTCCACAACCAGCCAGGAGGCCCAAGCCATATTTCTCTGCTGGGGAACCCGAAGCACATCACAGGGGGCTGTGGGGGATGGAATGGAGGACGTGAGGAATCGAACCCACGACCTCGTGAATACCACTTACATGCTCAACCGAGTTAGCCCGCTTGGGCATGAAGTGATGCGTTCTATTTACAATAAAGTTTGAATAAACCAATGAATTGCATGTACAAACCTTAGGGAGTCCCGACATCAAGCCCGGTTTGGCGCGTGACCGGCTGGGCATGACCCCCGGGCATGGGCCCAGGCAGCCCCAGCGCCAAAAAAAAAAAAAAAAAAAAATCCAAAAAAAATTGAAAAAAAATGTTGTGTAGAATTGCTTATAAAGTATTACAACCCACTTTTGGCTGAGGGTCACATCACAATTCCTCATGGAACTGAAGATAAAAAAAGAAAATAACCAAGTCACACTAAGGTACACCCCTTCAAACCCCTTTAGCCCCTTTAAAATTCATTTATACTCCTCTTCCCCCCCCTTGACAACCAACACTCAAAAAAAGAAAACAGCTCGGATTTAGGCTCTTCTCGGAGAGCGAGGAAAAACCCCACCGCCAATATATATCTACATGTACATCTACATCTACAATCTACATCTTCAAATACTAAAAGAATCGCTAACGTCATATCTACCGGCCCAGGTTGCAGCCCAGTCACCACCCGCGGACGGCCCAGTTCTCATCGGCCTGGGAACTGGGCCGTCCGCAGGTGGTGACCGGCCCGCAATCTGGGCCGTGCGATACCGGTTCGGCCCCCCCAAACGGCCCTTCTGAACGTGCGCCCGCGCCCAGCCCTGAAATCGCCCTTCGAAGGCCCGCCATTCGAAGGGGCGGGCTTCTTAATCGTCTCAGGCGCTATGGCACGCTACAGCACGCGACGTGCTCATCGTGCTCTCTCTCTCTCTCTCTCTCTCTCTCTCTCTCTCTCTCTCTCTGACTGTCAGACTGTGCTCTCCTTTGGTGCTCGACGGGTGGTGCTCATCGTCGATCCGTGCTTCTCGTGCTTGACGGGAACTTGGTGCTCTCCTTTCGTGCTAGACGGGTGGTGCTCATCGTCGATCCGTGCTTTTCGTGCTCGACGGGAACTTGGTGCTCATCGTGCTCTCTCTCTCTCTCTCGGACCATCGCTCGACGGGAACTTGGTGCTCTCATTCGGTGCTCGACGGGTGGTATTGTGTGCTTTTCGTGCTCATCGTGGTTCCGTGCTTTTCCTGCTCAACATTCGTGCTCTCTCTCTCTCTCTCTCTCTCTCTCTCTCTCTCTCTCTCTCTCTCTCTCTCTCTCTCTCTCTCTC